GAATTGGCTGCATTCACTTTTTCTTTCCAGAATCATCTTTGTGCATTTTCTTGCCTTGCCACTGCAAGTCCTGCACTACCAGACTCTACCGTTGTGTGACTAATAGGGCTGACGTGGTACCACCCCCAGCACTCCCCTGAGAATGAGGAGGGCATCATCCTCTCTGGTGCTGGCACACGAGAGGGCCCGCTTGTTCTCCTGGCTGTCACTGGTGCGCTGGGGAGGATCCTGGCATGGGCCTTGCACAGCCTCCTTATCCTTTGTGCAAATGGTTTAGCATTTTAATTTGCGGGGAGGTGCCATTTCACTGTAGATGGTGGCCGTGATTGACAGTGATAGGATAGAGGTCACTGGATCCATCTTCCCATGGATTGTGGGAAATGCAGAAGCAAAAGTTACTTTGCTGAAGTCCATTCTTCTGCTGGAGCAGGAGAGGAAAATGAGGCTCTTGTGTTGGGTTTTCCTATCTCTCCTCCTGAGTGGCAGGTCTGAGATGCACCAGGGAACAGGGGCTGTAACGCTGATGTCCATCGAGGCACGGCAGGAGGGTTAGTGCCATCATTGTGCCGGGCAGAGAGCAGGGCTCTTGGTGCCTCGGAGCGGCGGGTGGGTGATGTGAGGGATGCAGCCACCTCAGGGGGAGCAGAGGGTCTGTTGGTCAGGCGGGTGGGTTAGCAAAGAGCTGCCACCTTTGGCTTCGGAGCCAGTGAGGCCTGGGGACGGCAGGGCCAGAGAGGGTCCCTAAGGGGAACCAGTGCTGGGAGCGATGGAGGAAGGTGGGCGGCTGGTCCCAGGGAGGTGGGTTGTGGTGGGGTCTTCTCTGCGTGTTGCTGCCTCTGGCTGCCTACTTGCTTGTTACAGCAGGTCCTGTGCAGATCGAAGCCCAATGGACACTATCCCCAGACACAGGTTGTGATCATCTGCTTGTGGGAGGTTTCATCTGGATGTGCAGGCAGAACTATTTGCTATGGTGGGAGAAGGCTAAAAAAAGGTCTTTAATTCCTGTTTTCTTCCCTCGTCCTTTCCCAGTGCAGTGCAAGAGTGCTCTGGCGAGCAGCAGGTCTGGGCTGTGTTTGCTGTGGGAGCTGTTTGTGGTTGTGTCCCCAGTTTTACACCAGTGCAAGCACCGGTGCAAGCAGCCCAGCGTTTCAGTTTCCCAGCCAGCCTGCTTGGCTCTCCCGGCCTGGACACTGCAGGGCTGACCCGCCAGGCTGGCAGAGCTCTTTCCCCAGCCACTCCCTGTGGCTGCGGATGAATTGCACAAAGCCTGCCTTTCTTATAATCCCATTTCCCAGCAGTGCGGAGCCTGCCGAAGGAGCAGGCAGGGGATCTGGAGGAAGGAGGCTGCTGGTTGTCTGGGAGACTCGGGATGGTGAGGCGGGAACAGACAGTGCACAGCGACGGGTTACACTGCACCTTTGGGATCTGCGGGAGGAACTGGCAGCCGGCACAGGAATGTCCTTGGAGATCTGGTGGAAGTCCCTCCATGACCTCGGCATCCTCAGCCTGACCTCTTTAGTGTGCTAAGAAGGATTGAGAGACTCCTCCAGGTAGAGGACACTTCAAGCGGCCGTTGCCAGATGCCTCTTGCAGAGCACAGGCAGACACGCAGCAGATGTTGTCTGCGAGAAAGACAAGCTTCGTTTTCTTTTGAGCACTAGCTAGCTGTGTGATTCTGTTTGGGAAAGTAACTAGGGATTGATTTTCTTTTAAATGAAGAAGTTCACCTGAGTCAGCTCCCCACCTCTGCCGTGAGTCACCTTTGCTGACTTGGTCCAAGAGAAGTTCCTACTCTTGCTGGCGTGGAGAGGCTGAGAAAGCTTTGGGTGAGCAAGCAGCGTTTCCCTGTCATCGTCCTCAGCAGTGGAATTAAGCCATTTCTTGCTCCAAGGCCGGATTCTGTCTTTTATCACTCCAGTGCAAAAGGTTCAGTTATGTTTGGAACAGTCCCTGATGGCAGGTTGATGTTGCTGTACCTGAAGATAGAGTTTATGGTGGTAAAGCAAGGAAAGCCAGCGCCAAGTTTATGGAGCTGACTGCTAAAATTGGAAGCTGGATCAGAGGTCATCTTTAAGGAAGGAAAGGGATGCAGCTGAGGTCTTGCTGGTGCTCCACGAGTGATGGCCCGTGCGAACACCCTTGTCTCTTCTGGCTGCAGGACCAGGCTCTGCTAGAGCAGTAGAGCAAAAACATGTGTGGTTCTTGCAGGGGAAGCTCTGCTCGTGTACTGTGACCTCTCTGGCGTGTGTTGCTCATTTTGCTGTTTCTGTAAGTCAGGGTGTTTTCATGTTGTGATATGACTTGGCCTTACCCCGTGTCAGGCTTTCTTTAGCACTAGCAAAGGAGAATTTTCGTTATTCAGGAAAAAACAAGCAGATTTCTTAATATTGCTCCGAACACCTGCTGAAACAGGGAACTTGAGGGCAGCTGGGACTCAGACTTTCTCCATCCCTCTTGGCAGGCTCCATCAATGGGAGGGGAGCAACCCTGCTGCTAATTGGAGGTTAGCCCACGAGTCTGGTCAAAGCTGAAGTGTGGTTAACTACACTCTGTTTCACTGCCACCTGCAGCCAACTATATGTGTCCTCATTTCTTCAAACTTGTGTCACTGTGTGTTTTTCAGCGTGCACCATGTTCCAGCCCTGAACCAAAACCGGGTGGGTTTTGAGTATTAGTAGGGTCTGGTGCGTCCAACTTGTGAACTGTTTTGGGCCAACAAGTCCCATGGGATCCTTAGTGTCTTACAGGGATTTGATTCACTTTTGGTAGCTTCTTCATCACCTCTGCAAAGGTGCTTTCTGTGTGCTGCTCATTTGCTTCTGAGTTCATTGTTTTAACATTTTGGGGTTATTTTGTTCATGCTTAACCTTAGGTTCCGTGTGCTCAGAGGGAGCTGAGACTCCAGTCTGTTGGATTATGGTTTCCTACCTCTGAGGAGACGCACAACTCCTCCTTTAGTGAGACAGGCCATTTGGTAAGGCACAGCTCTATGTGTCCTGCCCCCATGTCCTTGTGTGCATCGCCTGCTTTTTATAGCATGAAAGAACAGGGAGTTTCCCTGACTTGGAAGATCAGCAGCATGGCTGAACTTTCACTTATGTTTCCTAACTCTGAGCATTAGAAATGTCTTGGGGAGGAGCTGATGAGCTGCAGTCCCCGGTCAAAGAGCATCTGCATCTCTCAGGGCAGGGACAAGAAAAGCCCGTAAATTCAGGAGAGTGGCTGGATGGGTTTTCTGTGTCTCCCTGAGTCGGATCTCCTTCAGAAAGCTGCTTTTGATGTATATCCATGCTTTCCTCTTCAGTCTCTCCTGAGACAAGCTCTGACTGTGCTTGTTAGTCTAAGTACATCATAAACATATATGTACTACTTTATGCATTGCAGCTCTGGTTTACAGCTCCTGTGCTGTCAGGGTGACAGGCTTTGCTGGTGGAATGGGTTGGCTTCTGCACGGTTTAAGCTTAGGTGACCACTGAAAGTGGGAAGACCTTGCGAAGGGAATGGATGGAGAGCTTGAAGTAGAGCCAGCGTTTGATGCTCTGCTTGTTCACTTAATCAGTTTTGCAATAACAAACAAGTTGCAGAAAGAGAATATTCACGAAAAAAATTGGTTTTAAATATCAGGATTATGTTACTTTTTAGTGTGCTTTGTGCAGCAACAGGTGTGCAGCCCACACTTTCATCCGCAAGGATGAAAATGAGAGCAGTTTTAAATAATGCTGTTTGTTTAAAATTTGTTTTCTTTTTTTTTCTTTTGCTTTGGAAATCCAGTTTGTTTTGGGCAGTGAGAGGGATTAACGGCTGAAACGCTGACTTGCTTCTTGCCAGTTGAAAGGCTGGACTTTCGTTCTAAGCTGTCACCCCCAGTGCTTTTGTTACAAACCCTGCAGAGGCATGTTTTTTTTGGCATTTACACCCCCAAATATACCTTGCAACATTCCTGTTGCTTCTGAGAGAGTGGCTCCTATCTGAATGCATGTTTCTGACAGCTGCTCTTCCTCTGGCAGTGCTGTCAAACTGCTTGAGGGGGGGTCTCAGTCATCCAAAGCTATCCCCGTATCACCTTCCCCAGAGTGACTTTTGCATAGGCAAATGACGTTACCTCTCTGCACTTTATGGCAGATAATTCCTTGCTGTACACAGGGCAGCTGAGGAGATTGATACCGGTGAGAAATGCTGTGCAAGCTCTAGAGTACAACTGCCGTTTGCAGTTTGCTAATCTCTGTCCAGAACGCGTTGAACGCTTTTGCAAGAATGTCACCTTGTGCCTACAGCAGCACTGGGGCCCGAGAGCAGCTGTACGGGTGGAGATGCGGATGAAGAGTTACCGGTCTCGGAGTGGAGCCGTTCTGCATCCTGATGGTGCTGGAGTGCTCAACGCAGTGTGCGTTGCTCGGGGAGTGCTGCTCTCTGTAAATGTGGGTGCAGCGTGGCCGGTGTCTGTTAGATGTGTCGGACGTCGTGTTGTTGCCTTACAGCTGCTGTACTCCTGATGGACTGCTGCTCTGAACAGTCTCCGATACAGGGCATGAGTGAAGCAAGCAAGAAGCTGGCTAGAAAGATGCCCTGCAGCTTTGTTGGCCCATACTAAGCAAGTTGTATGTTGCAGGAGCCATCAGTCTTTGTTCTGTCTGTCTCCTGAGGTCATATTGGTGGTGACTACCAATCATCACAAGAATCATTACGATAGGGCCTCTTGTCCACAAACCATTCATGGGAGACCACAGAAAGGTATAAAGTCTCCTTTAGTTCACCTTTTCTAGCTTCTGGATCACCAAAGGTTTCAGCCTGACCAGAGTCTTCTTGGAGAGAGCACAATAACATTGCCCTGTTGCGAAGCTCCTCTTGCTGTATATCTGACACAACTTGCTGTGTTCCTCTGCAGGAAGGAGCACTGGAAGCTGCTAGGCAACCTGAAGACCACAGTGGAAGGCTTGGTGTCCACCAGCAACCCGAATGTCTGGTCCAAGTATGGCGGCTTGGAACGGCTCTGCAGAGACATGCACAGCATCCTTTACCACGGGCTCATCCACGACAAGGTAGGACTCTGTCCTGCCAGCACTGCTGTCTGTCTGTGGCAGACATGGCGCCTGTCATGAGCAGCTGGGACAGTCCTGTCTGCCTGCAGCTTGCTTCAGTGCTCGTAGCACAGAGTGGGTACAAAACTTGTAGCAGCGTGGGAAATGATCGAAGCAAGATCTGAGCTTGCCTGGCGAGCGCTGTGGTTGTCAGAGGGACCTGGATGCGTGTTCTTTCCATCTCCTCCACCTTCAATGTAGTTCTTCTGAGTACCTGTGCTCCCTGCACTGAGGCCAGCCCTTCTTCAGCCAAATGATAAAGCTGCATTTGCAGTGAGTCAGCCTGGTATCGTCTGCGCTTGGTCAAATCCCCAGCTGAGATCTGGCAAGAGAAACCGCACATCTTTACTGTTTCTGGTTAGCTGTGTCAGTAACAGGAGCTGGCAGCTGAATCTGCACCCTGTGTGAATGGGATCTCTTTCCAGGCTCTTGTTGTGCCCTGCAGTTGCTCACTCAGGCATTCCTCCTTCCATGGCTGCCTGGAAGAAATTCTTCCCACATGTGTGCAGAGGCCTGAAGATCTCCCTTTCAGCTTGCAATTGCCACCACAATTAATTTACAATGGAAAGTTGAAGCAGGTCTGCAGGGCATGCCTGGAGGCAGGCTTCCTATCTGCCGCTCAGCCACCCAGAGAGCAAAGTGGAGAAGCCCCAGGCAGCTCGCAGGGGCCAGCTGGGTCCAGGAGCAGCAGAACCGCATCTATGCAATGCTGCACACGAGCTAATAAGCCTCCGGGAAGCTCATGGCTGGCAGCTCATGCCAGCAGGGTGCTTTGATCCCTGGATGTATTAGCTGCAGGCAGCTCATTACGGTGCTGCTCTGTTAGTCCCCCATGGTGCGGGCCAGGGACCTTTGGGAGATCCACGGAGAGAAGCTACCTTTTACCTGTGAGGAGCGCAATGCTCCCTTCTGATAGAAGTGCTATTAATAAGCTTCAGGAAATTAGGTTTAAATTATTTATGTTCGTCTGTCTCTTGGTAACAGTTCATGTTCATGCCAGACCTGCAAAGCAGGACAGTGTGTTGTCTTCCTCAATGCATTTACTATGGGCAAAGGCATAGAAACGTCTAAAAAAAAGTTCTTTTACCTAGAAACGTCTCCCCTGCTGGGGCACGTGTCACACCAATCAAGCTAGAATAGCTGCAAAGGGAGGCCTGTAAAAATGCAGTTTTCTAACACACATTTTCTCCTAGTTGCTTCAGCAAAACAATTAGTTTTACTTATTTTCTTATCAACTTTTTTCCTACAACTGGGAATAAATTAAAAAAAAGATGAAAAAACATCCATATGTACATGTTAAGAGAACTAGGATAAGAAGTTTTTAAACTTTTGAGTGAATTTTATGTATTTGTCCAGAAAACTCCAATTCAATCTAGAGGATTAAAATTGCCATGTTAGTTCTCTAGTCTTAAAAAACCAAACCAACTCCCCCAAACAAATAAGCCACAAAACAGAACCCATTCCTCTGATGCTTGTGAAAGAGGAAATAGAGATTTAAAAAAAAAAAAAAAATCAGCCTTTTGGTGAAGAGAGATGTTTTGGGGCTGTGTTTGCACCCGGTAGGGTGGTGAGGAAAACAGCAACTCTGCTGCAGTTCCTCTTTAACGGGAAGAATAACTAAGTACAAAATAACTCAATGTCTAAATAAAGCTGAGGCAGACAGCAGCAAAGAGCTGATTGAAAAGCAGCGCCAAATTTCTTACTTGGGGTGCTCAGCTCTACTGGTGTCCTCAGTGGTGGCTTGAATCAGAAGACAGCAATGGTTGCTGGTTTTGCTAGAAAGTGTTTCCATGTTGCCCTTCATGTCCCCTCGCTGAGGTCTGACTCTCTGCGGTGCTGGGGTGTCAGGGCTCCCCTCCGGGTGCTGCTCTGGCAGGAATGGGAATGGTGACGTGGGAACTTGGTCAACGTTGAACTTGGCAGACCTTCAAAAAACCAAGGACGCATACGTGACACTGCCATGCACAGAGTGATTGGAAGGACCCAGGCAGAGCTGAGGCCCCAAACACGCTTTGCTGTAGGTGCAGCTGGCACCCGATGTCCATTCCCGTCTCCTGTCTGCCCACCCTTGCCTGCTCTGGTCCGTGACCCACCGATGAGCTGTGGTTGGCCTTTGGGATCCTTACTGCACTGCAGCAGGAGCGTGAGCCCTTCAGTGCCATGTCCTGTCCCTGTTCTAAGACTTCTTCTGTCTCCACAGCACAATGGACTGGTATCTTACCTGGTGAAAGAAGAGCAGCTCAGGGGATCAGTTGTCTGGTTGCTTGTGGGCTGACCACAACTGAGAGGTCACCATCGGAGCTTACCTACATCAAGCCAGTGTTTTTTGATTTGGTGCCTTGATCTACAAAACTGTGTTACACACTTGCGTTGTTTCTCCTCTGTAAAGCAGTGCTGCTCTCCTCCTTTCTATTTTGTGGCCCATCTGGCCAGGTTTGGAGGCTGTCCCCTTATGATAGCAAGGGGCTACCATGTTGTCATTAGCCGAGACTCGGGTGGTGATATCTAACTGTGCCTGTCCTGGGCAGGTGTGCTGCAGACAGAAGGATTACTGGCAGTTTGTGAAGGACATTCGCTGGCTGAGTCCTGGCTCTGCTCATCACCTGGAGAAGGTGGGTTCTGGTGGGGTGGCCTTGTGTGCCCAGCAGGGAGGGGAGAGGGCAGCTCGACTGCGAGCCTTGATAGAGGAATACCTCACTGCTGTGGGTAAAGCAGCTCCATGGCTTGTGGAGGCTGAAGCAGCAGTGTGTTTGTGTACAAACCATGTCCTGGGAACTCAGCGTGGCTTGGGCTGAGACAATCAGCTCCTTATTTCTCCCAGGCCAGTCTCCAGCTAGGCTCAGCTGGGTGCAGCAGGCATCACCAAGGGAACCAGCACAAGCAGCGCTTGTGTGCGTGTACAAGGGTGATTCATGCATCTGTGCAAATCTCTAAAGGTCTGGGCTGTCCCATTTCTGGGTTGTGGCTTCACCATGCATTTGGTTCTCCCGTTCTGCTGGCGCATGGGTATGCCCTCGGCTGCCCCGTGCTGACCTCTGTGGTCTCTGCCATGGATGGGTGCAAGGGGCTGACCCTCAGTGGTCTCTCTGTGCAGCCTGCTGTGGGGGGATGTGGGGTGTGACTCCAGTCTGGCTTTTCCAGCTGCAACAGCTCAGGTGTTTAGCTGTTTCTGAACCTTTCCCAGTTCATACATCAGCAAGCACATGACCGTCACCACCGGGGACAGGTTGGATTTGGGAGTGTGGGGTCCCTCCGGGTCAGGGGTGAGGCACACGTGTGAGAGAACATGCAGAAGTTCTGCTGGTGGCTGTCGGAGGACTTTAGTCGCTGGCTGACCTTTGAAGTGTTGTTCCTCCCTGGTGCTTTTGTGTCCCTGGTGGCTGTGGAGCTGCTGGGACATGTCCTCCTTCCGCTGACAGTGACCAGCGCTGGAAAGCTGCCACTATCAGGGGAGCCAAAGCAGTGCGTTGGAACAACCCCTGCTTGCTTCTGCGTGCCTTAACGTGTTCCTGGTGTCCCTTTGCAGTTCATCAGCCTTCAGGAGAGCGGCCAGCCCGACCCAGAGGGTCCGGGGGACCAGGCCATCGCGCAGCTGTGGCTGCAGCACAGCCTGCAGTGCCACTGCCTGTCGGCACAGCTGAGACCACTCCTGGGCAACCGGCAGTACATCAGGAAATTCTACGCAGGTAAAGAGAAACGGGCTTTTCCTTCTTATTAGGGAAATACCTGGCTGATGGTGTTTCTAAGCCACGTGGGAGTGAGGGAGGATGGCAGAAAAGGTGGTTTGCATGTGAGCAACTGGTGCTGTCAAACCACACGGGTGAGAGGAATGCCCCCCAAGCAGCAGTTTTCTTTCTCCAGACACTGCCTTCCTGCTCAGTGACGCCCACGTCACGGCCATGCTGCAGTGCCTGGAGGCTGTTGAGCAGAACAACCCCAGGCTTCTGGCTCAGATCGACACCTCCATGGTGAGTTGAGGTCCCGGCTTTTCCGTCTGGCTCTCCCCAGACACAGGCTGGTTGCGGCTGCTTGTGCGAGGTCTCATTCAGGGCACACGGAGCCCTTGGACAAGGGCTGGACTTGGAAGTAGCAAAAGGAGCTCCAAGAGGGGAGGAGAGCAGTGAACTAGTCCCTGCACTGCCTGCGTGAGCCTGGCAGGGGTTGAGGTGGAAGAGGTGACTGTGTGGAGCCTGTAGTGAGGTATGTTGCTTCTGGCTGGCATCAAGGATTTGAATATGAGGATTTGAGGATCAGTTTCTTGTAAGAGGCACCTCTAAAGCCCTCTCCAACAGTCCCGGGCTTCAGGGCCAGCAAGCAGATCTGCCTGGTTGTGAGGGACAGCCTCCTTCAAAGGGTATGAGCAGCTCCCCAGGACACCTGGGTGCCCACTCCTGCTGATGACGCCAGCGAACCCCCCTATGCAGCCCTGTGCCAGCTGCCCCTTCCCCAGAGGAGGGAACAGCGCCTGCTTTCTTTGCACAGAACTCCCCAGAGAGAGACAATTAATGAGGCTTCATTAAATAGGGGCTGTGTTCTTTCAGCTGGCCGGCACGTCACTGCCATCCCTGTGCACATCAGGTCCTTCTGCTGGGACAAGAGAGATGTGTGACTGTGACGCTAAAGGACAGGAGAGCCGTCTGCCTGGGGCGCTGGGCTGCCTGGATCGTTTCACCGAGAGCCTGGTAATTTCCCGCCGGGAGCCTGTCATGTAGCTGTGAATAAAGAGCCACTTCCCTTCTGCACGGCGGCATTTTTCCCTCCCCATCCTCCTGCCCCCGGGGCTGCTGCATCCTTTGCTGGCTGGTGACCAGGCACTCGCAGGTCAATTCCTTTCCGTTGCTGCTCCTTTGACGTGTAGCCCGGTAAATGCTGATTTATAACGATGCCACCTCTCTTCAGCTTACCGGGAAGAGTGACGGTCCACCTCCGGTGACCAAGAGTCAAAGCCTGACTGCCCTCCCCGCATCCCCGTACATCCCCGCTTCAGGCTACATGCAGCAGCGCTGCTTTGGGTCCTTCTCCAGCCTCCACCATCCAGCCTCCTCCGACCTCTCAGGTAACAAAGGTGGGCTGGGAAGCTCAAGATAGACCCAGAAAAGACTTTGCCTTTTTTCTGGTCTTGGAGTCATTGTGCTGGATGGGTGTGAGGAGATCTCTGCCCGTGCTGGGAGGCAGATCCCTGGCCTTCTTCTGTGGTGGGTGGGCATGCTGGTGTGAAGCCGCAGGCTTGTTGCTGTAGGGTGGTCTGCTTGTGCTGGGGTGTGTGATGTCCTCCTTCTACCTCTGTCTAGACAGGAGACCAGCGAGCTCCTCTGTCAGCTCCAGCTCTAGCCAGCACCAGGAGCACTGCCCGTCCACCCGGTCCTCGTCCTTCAGTGACATCAGGTCCCCTCTTGAGCAGCCCGGCTCTGCCACCTGCTTGCACATCCCCTCATCTAAAGACCCCTTCTCTCCGGCCAGCGAGATGAGCTCCAGCACCACCAGCCAGAGCGAGGACACTTGGATGGGGAGACAGGATGATCCACAGAGTGATGCTAATGACGGGCCAGAGTACCTGGCTATTGGGAACTTGGGGCACCGGGGCCAGGCATGCAGCAGTGCCAGCACCAACAGCACCAAGAGCAGCAGCTCCAAACTCTTCTCCTCCAGCAGCTCCCAGAAGTTGGACTCAGTCTCATCCCTGGGGGAGCAGGGGGCAAGCGGAGGTGGAAACAGGGGCCTGAGCCTGTTGCGCCGGTCCAGCTTCTCAGAGGGACAGTCATCAGTTCCCCAGGGCATCCGCAAGAAGAGCCACATGCGCTCGCACTCCGACACCAATGTGGCTTCGGGAAAGTTGCATGGTAATGGCATTACTTTTTGGGGATGGCTTTGGGATGTGGGAGTTCCCAGTACCCGGAGGCTGATGCTGGCTGCTCCTTTGACTCCATGGATCAGCTCAGCGAGGGGAACAGTGGGCGAGTGTTTGGGAGATTTGGTCCTTGCCCTTAGCTTTCCTGCTCCGCACTGGAGTGATGGTCTGACACCTTGCTTGCCAGAATGGCCTGGACTGGTCTGTCATTGGTATTGGCAGCTTTTACCAAAAACTTAGAAAGCAGCAGCGATACTATGGGATTAGCTGTCCTGCTTCCCCACTGGTTTTCCTGCCTGGGGCATGGGACTATGGCAGGGCACTGGGCTGGGGCTTGGGCTCATCCTACTGGTAGGATGTCATCCTACTGGTAACCTGCTGGGTCCTCCTATGCTCTTAAGTGAGTGAATGTATGGTGGGAGGAGCGGGATGTAAGGGGACAATGAGTTTGTGGGAGTCTGCCCTACTGATGCTGCTTTCATGGAGAAGTGGAGGTCTTTGCTGAGTAGTAACCAGTCTGTCTCTGTTTTCTCTCCCTTAATGCTGCCCTCCTCCTCCTCTGTCTGCCCAGGAGGCCTCAGGGATATCACCATTATAATAGAAGATCCAGTGGCAGGTTTGGGAGCCAGTATAACAGCCCTTCATTAGTGGTCATCACATCAAGTTCAGGATTTTCATCAACCCATTAGTGTCCATTTAGAAAACAAAAAAAAATTCTTTCTTCCCTGTGTCCCAGCTGGTGCTTTGAAGGGTGGTCAGGTTTATGCATGCGACCTGGCTGAAGATCCCGGCTTGGTTTTCGGGAGCAGTGGACCAGACCCAGAAGGGCGCCCAGCTCCCCTGCATGGTATTAGGGAGCGCTGGCCGCTGAGTTCCTGAGCTGCGTCCCCTGCCCTCCCCTCCACCCCATGGCCTTGGGAGCCAGGAGAGGTTTTGTCTCTCACCTAGTGAATAAGGGCTGGCAGATAGGCAGGCGTGGGCTTGAACGTCTTCGTTTTCCTTTCATTTAGTGGATCTGCAGCATGAAGAGGTTTGGTGTTGGCTAAGTTCAACCATGTCCCAACCAGCCATGCTGGCACCTGGAGCAGGACTCCTGAGTGCTCCTTTGGGCTTGGGATGGGTTCACGCCAAGCAAAGTTGCTGGAGTGCTGCGTCCTCTGCACCGCATACAGAGTCAGCAGTCCAAAAAACCTGGACTGTTTTCTTCTGTATCTGTTGAACAGTGGCAGCACTGAGTTTGTCGAGCTCACATCTGCATGCTGAGGGCTCTGCAGCTGGGAAGGCTCCTTTCTGGAGGTGGTGGGCATCCAGACAGACGTGTCCAGCCCCATGCCCTGCTCCAGCAGAGGATGCTGGGTGCTGCCTCACTTTGGCCTTCAGCAGTAGACTTTCTTGTATGTGGCATCCCCCAGGCTGGTGATCATGAAGCGGTTTCCCTGGTTTTCAGCAGGGTTGAGGTGGCTGTGGGAGAACCTGCCCAAGCTACACTGATTAGTTGTGAAAGCCGCACACCCCAATGGGTCTCCTTTGTCACCCAGCCTGTGGGGTGGGTTGGTCCCAAGCCCCGTCCTGGTGGCTGCTGCTTCATGGTCTTGGCAGAGAGATGCTGATTTCGGTGGGCTTGGGAGCCTCCAGCCACATCAGGGTTATGGCACGAAGCTGGGAGCTAAGAGGAGTAGGAAGTGGAGAGGACAGGGTTGTCCTTCTGTTGTGCTCGGGATGTCAGCTCGTGCCTGCTCTGTGTCCACACCAGTACATTCCAGTCAAGGTGTTTTCAGTCTCCTTCAGCAGTTGTCCATCACCCACCTGCTCTGTCTGGGCGCTTCCTGGTGCTGTGGCTCTCTGTAGAGCAGCAGTCATTGTTGATCTCCGGTCAGGCCAGCTCCTGGCAGTCCCCACTGGCTCAGCCCCGCAGGGAGTTGCACCATGGTACGTGTGTGGGGCAGAGCCCTGCCCACAGCCTCTGTAGGTCACCTTGAGCACTGCAGCCCAGGCTCCAGGGTTGTGTGCAGGGAACTCTGACTTCTAGTTGAGCAAGAGCGTGTCTGTCCTATGCCTCCTTTTGCTCTTGTCCAAGCTGCTTTGCAGGGCTGGGAGCCCCACAGATGCCTTGGCGGCTCAGGTTTCCTTTGTCTCATAGCTCTCTGCCCTGGGGGATAACTCCACCCTTGGAGGTGCTCCAGCAGGAAGAAGGGGCTGGCAGAGGCGCTTGCTGGAGGCTGTTACACCCCTAGCTCTGCTAGGGATTAAAGTGAGGAAGGCTTGGGACTTGACTGCTCCATGGCTCTCATGATCTTCTCTCCTTTTTTCTCCTTCTCCCCTCCTGCCTGAAATGCCATTTTAGCTTTGTCCCATCCTGGGCTTGCCCTCAGCCGTGGCACAGAGCAGGAAGATGTCCCTCCTTGCTTCCCACCCATTCGTGCCTGCCTGTGTGATGTTGAACCCCTTCCATTTCAACGTGTGCTCTAGGCTAGGCACCTTGGAGATACTGATGTCTGTCTGGTGTCATCTTCCCTTCCAGAGTCCCATGGTGATCCAGGTGGAGGGAGAGGGCCGGTCTCCGTTTCCACCCAGAGCAGTGAACTGAGCACACCCAGCTCCCTCTACATGGAGTACGGTGAGTGCAGCCAGCCTCAGTGGGGATGGTCACTCCTGGTCAGGCTTCTCCATCAGCTGTGGTGGCCTTAGCTTCTGGCGTCTGCTTATGAGATGCTGGTTAGGCACTGGCAGGGCTCATTAGCATGGGGACAGCATGTCTCTCCCTCATGTGTTTGTCTCTTGCTTTTCTAGACTCTGGCCAGTACCTGAGCTCGGGGGAAGGGATACTCAGAAGACCCTCGGAAGGACAGTCCCTCATCAGCTACCTCTCAGAGCAGGACTTTGGTAGCTGTGCAGACCTGGAGAAGGTGAGAGAGGCAACAGCAGCCTGTGTGCACTGGAGAACATATCTTACTGCAGGTTCAGTAATACTGCGCTCCGTGGGGAAGATAATGCCATAGTATTTCCTGCTATAGAGCTGTCCACAGAACTTCAAGGTTGAGCTCCTCAGTGGTGTCTGGTAGCCAGGATCTGCCCGTCCAGCATGTACACAGCAGCTTTGCAACACGTTAGGCCTCCTCAGGGACACGTGCTGACTCCCCAGAGTGGATGTGTTGCAGATCCTCTTCGCAGGATGTCCCTTGTGTTGTGCGAGTATCCTGGTGCCCAAGAAGGCTTTAGTTTCTAGGTCCTCGTAGAAGAGTTGGGTTTCGTGGGGTTGGCAGGCATTAAGGTGTTTCTACCACCCTCCATGAGTAATAAGCTCTTTCCTGTCACAGGTGGGGAACAAGATTTTGCCAAGTCTTCCTAGTTTCTCCATGGTACAACCTTGAATGCTTTTGCTTTTGCCTTGCAGGAGAATGCCCACTTCAGCATCTCAGAGTCCCTCATTGCTGCCATTGAGCTGATGAAATGCAACATGATGAGCCGGCAGCTGGAGGAGGAGGAGGAAGACAGTGACAAGGAGATCCAGGAGCTTAAACAAAAGATTCGCATTCGACGCCAGCAGATCCGCACCAGGCACCTGTTCCCTACCTGCCAGGAGATGGGCTCAGACAGTGGGTGATGTCTTTTGGGCTCATCAGCTAGTGGGATGTGGGGTTTCTGTCTGTTGCCTGTCCTTACAGCATCTTGCCTTCCTGCCCATTCATGAGAAGGCTTCTATTGCTAGCAAGGTGCTGCAGAGATTTGTGAAACTGCTGCTATTGAAGACCATAAGGGAACTGGTACTGTACATTGGTCACACTTGTGTGCTGCTGATGCTGAGTTATGGAATGTAATTTCATTTTGAACCTGTAGTATTTTCCATCCTTGACCTCCATCCCTCCCTGTCCTAGCCATACTTGGCTATCAACTTCTTCCTTAGCTGCCAGTGACCCTTCAGACCACTACCATTGATGGCCTGGCTGTGTTGCGTTTCTCCTAGGTCTTGTGGCAACAGACAGTGGTTCCCAGTTCAGCTCCCATGGCTCTATGCGGCTCTCTGACTCCGGCTCCGCAGAGGATGTGGAAGAGTACGAGATCCAAGGTAGGAGAGAATGGTTGCATTGGCTTCTTGCGTAGAGACAGACTTCTCCTTGGTGTGGTTGTGTTGAGGTCAGTCCCGCTGAAGAAGAGCATGTCCCTCTGGCCTTCAGGATGGCTTTTCCCAAGCAAGTGGCTGAATTCTGAGCATAACCAGAGCAACCAGTTTCCCTCATGTAGTGGCATGACTTTCCTTCGAAATCCTCTGTAACCCTCTAGCATTCAGTGCCTCTGGCTGGTAGGTGGTTTCCATTTCATTGCCTGGTCCACGTAGCAGCTGTCACAGCTAGAGAGAGATGGGAGAGCTGCCATCCTGCTCTCCTCCTCCCCAGGCAGAATGAGCCATAGCTCTGACCACTTATCTCTTGGGTTGCAGTGGTGGGCGCTGGTCACATCCTGACCTCTTAATACCTGTAGTCTCTGCTCCTGGCAGCTTGAGTGGCTGAGCTTATTGCCTGTGGAAGACCTGTCTGGATCCCTGGGTGTCCCTTTCCTTCAGAGCCTTGTTCATCCTTCAGGGTGGATGATTTATTTCTCCGTTTCACTGACTTTAAAGAGAAGTCTCCAGCTATAAATCTCAAACTTCTTGTCTCTTGACTCTTGACAGCAAAGCCCTCATTTCGGTCCCTGAGGGCTAGATTTTGGGCTCAGTTTTGAAGCCCACAGAGTGACGTGTGAGTTCAGTTTTGGACTTCTCTTGTGTGAGTGCTGCTCTTGTATTATGCCCTTTCTCTTTGGCCTGGCTGAAGCACTGAAGTCAACTGTTTTGTCATCACCGTGTTATACAGATGGTAACGATGGATCTAACCTGATTCAAATGTCCAAGAACGGCCTCTCAGTGTCAATGGCTTCCTTGTTCTCAGGTAGTACCCTGCAGTGCTGCCCCGTGGCACGCGTGCGTGTGTTTGCAAGGGGGGGGTGTGTGTGTGCACGTGCACACTTCTTGGAAATCTGCCTGGTTTGGGAACTGTGACCAGTATCATCCAGATGTCAGCAAGAAAAGCTGTGGCGGGATGAGATGTGAGGGAGCAGAGAGGAGGCAGAGGAGCTCTGCTGTGGGCTCCATCCCCCAGGGCATTTTGCCATGCAGTATTTTGGATATAGCAAACATCCCTGCTGTGATGAAGACCTGTCTTGCCTGGGATAGGGCTCGGTGGGGCAATGGCACAGCTTTGTAGCTCTGTAGCTGCTGAAGGCTGAGCTGGGACTGGATGAGAGCAGGGTCCTTTATGGTGTGGGACCAGGTCTCCATCCCAGGTGCTTTGGGGAGCGTTATCCTGCTTGACTTGGCAGAGCTGACATGCCATAGCTCTGATCTGCACCACGACCAACGCTTCCTGTCCTGCCCAGACTTGACTTGGAGAAGAATCCTTCCACAAAGAAGCCTAGAGGGAAAAGCAGTGAGAGCAGACAGGGCACAGGCAGTTCATTCATACTGAAGGCCCTGGGCCCTGGGATCACGTGCAGCCAGGTCTTGCTTAGTGTTTTTATTGTTTACAGTACTCCTAGATAATCCTTCCAGTCTGCTGGCCGCATTTGGATAACCTTCATGTGCTCCCTGTTTGCTTTAGCAAGGAAGCAGCTTATGTGGGCTGCTGCTGATCTCTCCTGTCAGGTGTTCAGCACCAGCACGTTGCTCCTGCTGGAGCTGCTGGTACTCAGAGCTTCCCTGTCAGCCCTGCTGTGTCCTGTGTTTGCAGCCCAGGGGTTTAACTGAGGGGGGCTCATCCTGACCTGAAGCTGGCATGCAGGGGATAGGGTGATGTCCTTAGGTTTGGGGGCAGTTCACTGTCCCACCTGGTGAAAGCATGGGCAGCAGAGGCGGTTTGGGCAGCTAACTGGAGGTTTTTGGGGAGTGTCTGCAGTTAAAGTTGGGAAGCAAGCAGTGGCTGGATCCCAGTGCTAGCCTCCATGGGAGCCTGGGGTCAGATTTGGCTCCCTCTGCCATCTCTGAAACGATGCCAGTGTCTGAGCATGCCATCTCTGCCTCCCGGTATCGCTTGGTCCGCGCTGCACTGCGTGTACCCCGCTGTTGGCTCACGCTCATTGTAGTCTAGGACTGTGCGGTGCCTTCCTGCACAGAACTGAAGGCACCAGAGCATGGCAGGTATGTCTGGCTGGTGCCATCTGTGGTCAAGAGGCTATGTTTGCCTGAATTCCCTGTTTTCTGCAGCTAGAAGTCCATTGGCGTGATGTAGATATATGGGTTCCTTAGCATTAGGATGCTTTCCTGTGCCTGTTTCTAGCAATGGATGTCAAACGAGGAGAGTCAAGCATCCATGCTGAACTCCACTAGTGTGAGTCTGTAAATTTACAAGGAGGACTGGAACTTGCTCCCCTTGCTGCCAGGGCAGCCCTGTTCATCCTAGGTGAGCCGATGGCTCAGGGGGTGGTTCCCTCCGCTCAGCCGGGCTGTGATTCCCTGGGCCTTGGCGTGTGGTTGGTACTGGCCAGGAGCAGATGGGCTCTGCGTGGGTCTGTGTAGCCGGCCTGCTCAGGGTGGAGGAGCAGTGACCCCGAGCTGTGCCTCCCCTAGTCCGCCACTGGGCAGGGGGAGCTGCAAGACTGTTTTTGGGGACAGTGTGTTCGCTGCAAACCCTGTTCCTAGAGCTCCTCAGAGGTACAAAATAGGAGACCTGCTGGGCTGAAGGTTGTGGCATTGGCTTCTCTTCTGTCCTGACCTGTAGTACTTTCCCCTCACATGCCTGTCTTCTCTTTTCTGGGAGACTGTAATGAAGCAAGGTTTCTGCCTGCTTCTGCCCGCCTGGTACTGCTGGAAGAGTCTCCCATACCAGGGTCCTTCTGCTGTTCAGATGAATTCCCTGTTGAGGTTTGATGGCAGAATCTACCAGAGTGAAAGAAAGATGAGCGATGAAGGTACCGCTGGGTGCTGCCTGGTACCCAAGGCTGGCACCGAGGAGGGACACGGGGCAGCTCAGGGCTGTTGGGGAGCTGAGGGAGGGGTGGAGGGAGCAGGACCCCAGTGTCCTGCACCTTATGTTGGACCCCTTCTTCCTTGGAAGGGCAAGATGGGTCTGTGGCCTCTGCAGAGTGCTGCTGGCCTGCCCTCTGCATGGATGCTGATGTGTCTCTGGAGTGCTGGGCTTAGGCTGCCAGCCCCGGCTGTGCAGTCGCTGTCAAGCTGTGACATGGCCACCGTCTGATCTTACAGGTTGTGGTCAAGTAGAGAGAAGGGCTTTGCATCCCATTGCTAATCCCTTGCAGCATCTATACTGCGTGTAGAGAGCTACTAAACCTTCTTGCTAACCTTGCTGTCCTGCCCTCCTAGCTCCTGTGTGCGTGCTGTTTCAGGCCATGTCTCTGCTAGGACTTGGTGTGTTACCTGTACCAGCAGCCACTTGTCTCCCCCAAACCCCAGGCTCACTGTTTCACAGCATCCCATCATGTTCTTCCCTTGTAACTCTGACAGGCGACTGACTAGACTGCACCTCTCCTTGCTATTCCACGCCACTGGTAGAAGTTGATGCTGTAGTTCACGTGCTTTTGAACAGCTTGATGAGTTTTACAGTGGAGCCTTGGTTTAAAATATGTGTATCCCCCTGCCCTGCCCCATCTGCTCCACCTTGTCTGTTTGTGATTCAGATGCAGACATCAAGAGGAACCCAGACTCCAGCAGGAAGTCCTTTCTCTCCTCAGAGTCCATGTACGTCTTCAACCTGTGGCAAGTCACCTTGGTACCAAGTTCCCCTTCCTGCCCAACTCTGCTCTTCCACATGCATCAGCTGCTGTTTTGCGCTGGAGTGGACATCCCTCCAGCTGGGTCCTAGTCCTAAATTTTGGGAAGCAGCACCTGGGATGAGCAGGATCATTCTCATGTTACATGAGCATGAGGTAGAGATGATGTGGACTGGTATCAAGAGAGATCCCCATACCTCCTAGTAAGTAAGAGGCTGGGGAGA